GTGTGTGTGTGTGTGTGTGTGTGTGTGTGTGTGTGTGTGTGTGTGTGTATAGAACCAGACTAGGTCCTCATAGTTCATTTCCGTGGGACTGAACTGTATGCAGCCGAATCTTTCTTTCACTGGGTATTTCTTTTTCTTTCACACTGTTCTGGCTGTATCTTTGGGGAAGTGTCTGTAAACAAGAGAGAGGCTCTTCCAGCTTGTTCATTCTTGTTCATACCGCCTGTGAGAAAGTCATTGGTTCATCTCAGCTCTGTCAAAAGGCCAAGGGCCACCTCTCTCCCATGGAGAAATGTTTTGAACACCCTTCCTTTAAGAGGCAACTCCAAAGAATGACCCAGCTTCTCAATAGGGTTTTCAGAGAAGTGTCAGGTACAATCCTGGGGATACTGCAGAGACACAGGCACTACCTACAATGGAATGGGCCCACCCATCTTAATCCATGACCTCTGCATCTGTTTCTACTAGACAAACCAGGGCAGGAATGCCAACTATCTTCCAGGCTCCTCCAACTGTCCTCTGAGGCTCTCATCTGCCAATGGTGCCAACATTCAGATTTCTTCTGCTTGGATATTGGAAGAGCTCTGCTTTCCAAGGGAGCCTTCTCCCCTGGTAGTTTGGATAAAATTGAGTTTTGAAACTTGTTCTAGAAGTTCTGAGATGGTTGCAAAATCTAATCTTAACATCAAATCTGGGCAGAAGCAAATCTAGCAGAGAGATTTCCACAGGGTTCAATCCTCTCTCTTCTGTAAGAGAAGCTTTTTATCTTTCAAAATTAATTGAGGTGAGTTATAATTGAGGACAAGGATGACAAGTGTCCTTCAATGCCCAGACACGGTCCTGGTGGGTAAATGGTCATGGTTACTCCATGTCAGCAGCCCTCTGCAGAGAAGCATGGATTGCCCAGGAATGTCATCCCTCCAGGAGCTCTGGCCGTGGGATGTTGGGATGGCATTTGTACTGAAAGGAGTGGGTCAGGTTATGTTAACTTGACTCTTGCTAAAGTTATCAGAGAGGAAGGAACCTCAAGTGAGACATGCCTCTAGAAGATCAGCCTCTGTACAGATAAGCCTTCTTCTTAATTAATGACTGATATGTGTGGGTCCAGCCCATTGTAGGTGGTGCCATCTGTGAACTAGAGGAGCTGAGTACTATAAAAAAGTGGGCTGAGCAAGCCATGTTGAGCAAGCCAGTAAGCAGCACCCGCCATGGCCTGCATTTGCTTCCTGCCTCCAGATTCCTGCCCTGACTTCCCTCAATGATGGGCTATGGATGTGGAAGTGTAAAGCAAACAAACCTTTTCCTTCCAAACTTGCTTTTGATCATGGTGTTTTATCATAGCAATAGTAACCTTGATTAAGACAGAGTTTATTGGGGTTTATAACTCATAGAATTGGGGCAGATATGAAAAGGAGGTACTGTACAGCCAATGGGATATAAAAACATTCTACCTTTACAACTACAGGAAGATGTAACTATGTTTAAAAAATAAGAGGGAAGGAAGGAAGGAAAGAAGGTAAAAGAGAGAATGAGAGAGAGAGAGAGAGAGAGAGAGAGAGAGAGAGAGAGAGATCTATCCCAAGAAGTCCTTCCCAGAGACCGTTTGAATAGAGGCCCCTGAGGCTTAGGTGTCACCCCAGCTTGTTAGGACAAACCATTCTCTTGATAATCATCCTCTGTGGCTTTTCTTGGGTGTTAAAGGTTTTAGTATGTCTTCTTCCTTTCCAGATCTTTCCAGATAGTATTTCATTTCAGCTTACATTCCCCTTTTGATGGTATCTGGGAATTTCAAGTATTCAGGACCGTGTGGTCATCTTTTTATTCTTTGTTAACAGTTTGGCGAATTATGGTCCAAGAGTGAGCTTCTCAAAAGTTATCTTCTTTCATGGTAAAGTCTGTTTTGTTATTTTGTAAGTGTTTTGTGTACATA